GATTGGGAGGCTGAGTACCAGTAGTATGACTAAAGAGCATCTATGTGTGCCCCAAAATTTGATTCACTTTAAAATTTATGAAAGCTGAATTTTCATTGGCTAATTCAAAGGTCGCCAGAACATGACTCCTAAGTAACTTAGCCTCTGTCAGATCCTCATGTTAGAAAGTAAAGCTCTGATTTTAATCATATTGAACTGGAAGCTATCTAGAGTTTGATCACTGCTTTTGGCATAGGACTAGAGTTATTTTTCGGAAACCGCTTTCCTTATAGAAGTCCCATTTACCTTTGATTTCTGTCCTTTTGACCTTGACCTTTGAGCCAAAAAATGTTTGGGAGTCTTCCTCGACTCAAATGCAAGCCATTTTTACATCTTTCATTGTTTGTTACCTTTCATTTTTTAAATTTTAAATTAGTTTCCTACTTGCCCACAAGTCCCTTGCAAAAGTTTGGTCACTGCTTTTGGCATAAAACTGGAGTTATTTTTCGGAAACGGCTTTCTTTATGGGAGTCCCATTTACCTTGTTACATGACCTTTATTTCCAAAATGAGTTTGCCTCGTCTCAACATTAACTTACAGACTGTATTGAAGGCATGTTGCACATAGCTTATTTTTTCTATTATTCTTTTTCCTTTGTTTTCAGTCCTTTTGACTTTGACCTTTGAGCCAAAAATGTTTAGGAGTCTTCCTCGATTCAAATGCAAGCCATGTTTACATCTTTCTTCCTTTGTAACTTTCACCTTTCATTTTTTAAAATTTTAAATAAATTTCTTCCAGGCCGATAAGTTCCTTGTAAAAGTTTGCAATGGTCGATGATGCAGAACTTAAATTTACTGTGGAGATGGAATGGCAATGGATACATGGTTGTACATGCCAAAGGATATGTATAGGAATGTGTAGTATAAGAATGAGAATTGTAATATGTAGGAAACTGTCAAAACTAACTGAAAGATATTGTATGAAGTGAAATTAAATTTTAGTGTCCATAGCTGAATATCCTTTGCTCATCAAAGGAGAACAAATTTTTGCATTGCTGGAATATTTTTGTTCCAGTACAAATATGTGTATGAATGACTGCAACATGATGCTTTGTGCAAAACTAGAATAATTAAGTTGATCTACAAATTGTGCTTGACGTCCACACCTGTTACTAATGCTTTCAGTTTTCATTTAATTTGATTTGAATAGATTTTGATATATCTGATAAAAAAACAAATTTATGTCAAATATGATGGTTACTATCTAGGTGTGAGAAAGCTTGCCAGTAGCTTCTCGTTGGTCGGTGGTTCTTTCCGGTGATTCCCCCGGTTACTTCCTCTACCATTAAAATACTGGCCGCCATGAAAAGCCTATCGTGTACTGAAAAATGGCGTTAAGCCCAACAACAACAACAGCTATCTAGGTTGGGCAGATCATATTAATAACCAAGACTTTGATAAAATGGTGTAGTGAGATTTCATATCACATTAATTTTAATTATCAGGGCTTAAAAGTTGGAATCATTAATGTTACTTCAAAAGCACAACAATCAAGTACGATGTACACTATTAATTAATATCATCAATCAGCAAATTGAAAAGTGCAAGGGGGTGGGGGTGGCGATTGCACACATTGATATTTAATTTTCTTTCACCAAGCACTGGTTATGTGATATAACTAGATAAAGTGAGCAATATAATTAGAAATTTGAAAGAAAATTATTCTGAAAAACTAGATGGGAAAATTATAGGCAAGCAAATACAATTAGAAAAATTTAGAAGAAAGAGGAAACAAATACACCTTTTGAATCTGCAGTTTCATTTATTTGACTAATTAGCTCATCAAAAGTTTCTATGCATATGCAATAAACTGGTATTAGGACAGCAAATTAGCCTGTATATTACTACATTACATGCATTACAAAAGAAATTGTACAAAACTGAAAGTATAAAAAGACCATAGACGCTGTTACATTTTTTATTGCTAAAAACAATCAAAATTACTGTTATAATGCTGTGTCAAAATTAAAATGTGTATTACTTTAAAAGACAGTTCTAAATGATGCATCTAACTTCCATCAAACAAAAATAGTATTTGTATTCAAACTACAAAAATAGTAATGCTCACATGTATGCATGTAACACATGCAAACAGTAATGCTCACATACATTACAAGTAATAGATGGTAATGCTTGCATGTGTTCCACATAATAGCTTGCATGTAATAGATGCATGTAATAGATAGTAATGCTCACATGTATTCCAATTAATAAACAGTAATGCTTGCATGTTTGCATGTAATAAATAGTAATGAACACATGTATTCCAAGTAATAAATAGTAATGCTTGCATGTATGCAAGTAATAAATATTAATATTCACATGTATTCAAAGCAATAAATTGTAATGGTTCTCAGTATCCACCAACCACTAAGTAATTGACTGTTTCTTTCAACTGAACTGTCAACATTAAGAACACTAACATTTACACTATACTGTTAAAGTGACTCAGCCCTGTACTTGTAATATTTAACAGGCTAATTCAAAAGACAACATAATGTATGTTCTTTTTGTCATGGTAATACAAATAGAGTATTAATTACAATTATTCATATCAATAGATTGGCCTACAACAAACGCATATCATTCTAAATAGGTTTGTGTTGAAAAATGTAATTAGTTATGCCTGTACAAGTCATTTGTCTGGTTTTTGCTTCATTCTGCAATTTAGGTTTTGGTCCATAAAGTCCCCCCCCCAAAAATGTGAGAAAAAAAACTAATGTAACTACACAAAAAATAAAACTTTGTCATCTATAAACAAATACAGATACATCTACTATATTTTAACTGTCCACATCAGTTGGCCTTTGCTTAATCCTGCTAATGATATTTGTGCCTCAAATTTAATAAGTTATGCATGCAAAATATAATTTGCCTAGGTTTTGCTTCATCAAGTTAACAAGGTCTTGCACACAATGTCTCAAGTCCAAAATAGTTCAAAAGTGTATAAAAAAAGAATATGAAAGACTGTTGTCACAGCATTGAAACATGATCAGATCCTCTTCATCTGGATTCAAATATGCAAGCCACACTTCATTTTAATTACAGCAAAAACTAAACACATGCTTTCTTGAGTTTTCTAACTGTCAATGTCTGATTCATCATCTATGTTATCGACAATATTTGCATCAATTTCAACTTCCTCTAACTTAGCATCATATACTTCGAGAAGCTGATAAATATCTTGCAGTTCATCATCTGATACACTACTCTAAAATGACGAAATGTTCATGCACCGTAAAACATGTTGCATCACTGGCATTTTATTGTGCTGGATTTCTGTATAAGGTCTGAAGTTTTTGGAAGCATTTTCTATAAGTTTTTTCATATTGAAGTTTGAGCAACAACAAGCAGTTGATTTTTCCAAGTATAGCTCTGTCTTTTTCCACATCCTGAAGACTAGATATTTCCTCCATTATGATCTTCTTTTGCCTATATGCCCAAGCTAGATAAGCCTTCATTTTGACAGAGGATGCTTCTATTTCTTCCTCTGCTCTCATGTACGAAGTATAATACTCAATGGCCTGTAATTTTAATGGGTTGTTTGTGTCATCAGATGTTTGATATATCTGACTCAACGGTGTACTGACATCAGCAAAATTAAGTCTACTTTCATCTAGTTTACTTAGCTCCTTTAGCCTATGGTTGATTTTTTTTATTTGTCTGCTGAAGCTTTCTTCCAACTCTTACAACAATATCCTGCCCATCTGGAAGAAAGACAGTTAAAATAAAATTAATAGAGTAATCATGTGCAGATCTATGGGTTTGAATCAATTTTAATATGTACTCTGCTGTATCAATTTTGAATATATTCAACTCACTGTTTCTGAATATTACCTTGCTTTGATACTACCCTTAAAAAAGATGAGAGTATGAATTGATGAACGTTTCTGTGAAATCCTAAGAACAGTTTACAAAGTAAATACATTATCGACTATACATTTGCAGAAATTTAAAAAAATTGGTTTTCCACTGTAAACATTTTCAGAAAAAAAGTAAAATGTAGCAGGAAAGTAATCCCCCCCTTTCCTTGTGATGCACACAAATATTTCTTGAAAACCCACAATATCCTTGATCAGGTTTAATTACCTGCATATTTTTTCATCAATGACAAGAGAAAAGTTCTCTCAGTAGCAGACTCTTTCAGGATCTTAATTAAATCATGATTACTTTAAGGTGACCATTCAAGAAGTTAAAAGAAAAAAACTTGCCTCGCTAATAATGGATCATATATGGCCAAGGATAAAGTGCTATGTCTGAAAATTAGGATACATGAAGGCTTGCATAAGACTGAATTTCTTTGAGGAAAAAGATGGAGAATGAGAAAAATTTTAAATATACTCCCCTTTGCAATCAATAACACACAAAGATCTTAAATATGAAGATATGCAAACTTCATGATCTTTTCGCCTCAGCATATCTTCTGACCTTGCCACAAATGGAACGAAGAGTCTACCCTGTAGGAAAAACATAAAACATACATTATAGAATCTGAGTAAATGTAAATGTACATATAGATTAAAATCATCTCAATACATGGCAACCTGATCCTTACAAGAATGCAAAGTTTTTAAATAAATATGGTCCTTAGATCCACTTGAGTCAAATTAATGTGTCTTTAAAGCTCTTACTTAATGCAGGATCTATTCTAAAAGAAAACATTTAAAGATGAAATTTCCAATTCATGTGAAAACAAGTGGGTAGTTTTCTAATTACAGACAGTGTGTGTGATTGGGATTTTTAACATAGCTTTAACAATTTTTCAGTCATATCATTACAATTTCTGCAGTGTGGCAATTTATATTGATGTCTAACACTAGGGCATCATGCCACAGACATGTGGCATGATGTCCCACCTAGTCACATTATCCTGACACCATGCTGACCAGTCCCAACACTAACCTCTTCATGCTGAGTGCCAAGCGAGGCAGCTGTAGGTACCATTTTTGTAAGTCTTTGGTATGACTTGGCCAGGGATTGAACCCACGGCATCCTGCATCCAAAGCAGATACTCTAACTACTAGGCCACCAGAGCGGTCTACAAAAAATATTTCCTGAAAAATATATGTAGGACTTGCGCACATAATGCATGACTTCATTGCATTTGGTTGATGTTTCTGTGAAATTGAAAATTAGTGTAATCTCACATTTGTGTGCCTTACAAGAGGCCTTATTTCAAGGGGCTATGTCTATTTTATCACCTAAATTTTGACAAATAACAAAAGTTCTTGTAAATTACTGTGGTAAACTCATCCAAAGTTCTCTCTGATAATATATTTATAGTTTGATTATTATTACATTCTCATTCAAAATAAAACATTTCCACACTTCATATAATGTGGAATAGAAATAAGTGTGCATACACATTCACTAGCTCAAGCATTTGTTGTAAAATTTTTGAACAGGTGCTTGCTAAATTGTATATTATTTTCTATATGCAAGCCTACCATTTATTCAGGATATAAGCAGTGTAATTACTAGACTCTTGTCATTCCCTATCCTCAATCAACTAGTACTCCTGGTAGCAGCATTAGATGACGAAAGCCAGTCCCTATTGTCATAAATATTAATTTTAATTCAGTTATTTCATATGATCTCTAAATTCATAGGAGCTGCATTTATATTAGCCCAGCAGTTGTTATCAACTTAAAAAACTTAAGTATTTATTATAAAGACGTGAGACATCCTGTCAGTCTTTAGGTTTTAAAGCGCTATAAAATATAAAGTAAACTAGATCAAAGAGAAGCTTACCACATTTAGAGATAAAAACATTCATTTTCATAAGTTAGTGGACTTGACTAATTGTCAGGACAAGATAAGAACTGCTACAGATGTTGCTTTTAGTGCCTTAATTGAATCAATGCTGATGTTTAAGTGTGGAAAAAAGAAGCAATGGTGAAACTTATGGGTAAACACTAAAAATGTGTAAAAATCTGAGACACACACTGTTTTTTAAAAATGAGCCAGGTTTAAAAATACAAACATTTAGCAAATTAATATATCTGAAACTATTCTTGAAGGATGAAATTCAATTACACTCCTTGTGGATGAATAAAGAAAAAAAAGGCAGTTCATGTATAATCAATATTCAGTTTGAATTAGTTTAGAAATCCAGTCTAATATTAAGCTACATTTTATATTGAACAGCAACTATAGCAATAATAATAAATCTCAGGAAATACAAAACATTATATTAAACAGTTTACAAATAATGTCAAAGCAGACACGAAAGGTACATACTTGTATATAAAGTCCATATATGGTGTTAGTAACTTAAGTTTTCTTCATCATGTGATTTTGTAACCAATCAAATTGCTTTTTAGAAATATTTGGTTAAAAAAATTATTCTAAATTGCATTCCATATGATTTGTAATATTTTCAGTAATATGCAAATTTCTGACAACCTACACATTATGAAATATCAAGTGATGAAATATGATTCAATAAAACCTGTACAGTTCTGAAATACAAATTCTGTCAAAACAAGTTCCAAGAAAGGCAGCCTATAAAGAGAACTGTCAGGCCATCAAATAGCATCATTAACAAAAAGTAGTCTAGTCATTCCTGAACGGTTGTCCAATGAAACAAAAACAACAGTATTTCAAGTTACTCCTTCCTTGGCAAAATGTCATCTGACAATAAGCAACTCAAGCAGATCAGCCAATGAGGATGGGATGGAGGTCAATGCTGTATTCCATACTGTGACCCAAACCCCATAAACACCAAACTAGGGTGAGTGATCATATTTTGCATGGTACTTCAATTCCTGAATGCAGTCCCTGTAATAGTTTTAAGGGTTGGGGAGAGGGTGTGTTAAGATAAGTAATGATTATTGTGTGGATATTTGTAATAGCTTGTATCTTACATAATCATTAACATGATTCTGCAATATGATATCAGTTTACCTTCCATATTTGGGGAGTATGAAATAAAACAGTCTGATGGACCTTGTTACAACACATCTGACAATAATAAGCAATTGTGCTGCAATCGAGACATCGGATTATTTCCTGTTCCTCTCTGCAGCACTTGCTGCATCTGTGTGTAGCTGGTGACATTTCTTCAACCCTTGCATCTACAAGGTCTGTTCTCAGAGCGGACCAAGCTTCTGCCAGCTTTTGCCTTCGGTTCTGGTATCTTGTTAGGGGTTCTCTACCTTAAAATAAAAAAACCCCATTAATTTCTCAGAATAGACTGCTTTTGTAAGATCAGTTATCATGCTGCATCTCAAAATTAAGTGTTCATGACATTATAATGTCACTGTTACATCACTCTTTACAAAGGTGTATTAGAGCATTATGAACTCTGCATGAGATAAGATGCAAAATGACAAACATATCTTTTTTGGTTCTTTCTCTTTAAAAATATTGAAAAATTAAGTTTGTAATAACATTTACTAATTGTAATAATAGTGTGAAAGAAAACAATCAAGTAAACAAAACTAAGTTTGAAATCTTAAACACTTATAACCTAAACCAATGGTGATGGTTGGCTTCCGTCAGTCTCGAGAGACGATGGAAATGCGTCCATGAAAGGTGTCCAAGTTTGTAGCTGTGCAGCTAAACCAATATAAAAATCAAAAACATTCTCTTTTTATTACGAATTAGAAAAGTTATTGACGATATTCAAATGTGCAAATGTTTAGAATTTCTCAATACTCATTCAGCCATTATGTTCTCAGCATTTTGGAGCAGGTTACTTTTCCCGTTGTGTTTCTTGGGAAGAAACTTTGGGGATATATAACCAAGTAAGCGTTAGTTGTAGGGTTTAACGCCATTTTTCAGCACAAGATAGGCTATACATGGCAGCCAGTATTAATGGTGGAGGAAAAACACTGGAAAACCCCGGGAAGAACCACTGACCCATGAAAAGCTACTGGCAGGCTTTCTCTCTTACCCACGTTATACGAGTCTGGATTCGAACTCACACAGGCAAGTGTTAGTAATGCAAAGAAATGCAAATCAACTAATGCATTTTTAGGTCAGTTTGGATTGCTTAGAAACTAACTAAGCAGTCTGCATGAATAGTTTATATAATCAAACCTGCTATCACAAACATTTTTAAATGCATTCAAATTTATTTACTGACTATAACTTTTTAGTTTATGACTAATTCTTCCTGCTAAAAAGCACAGTTCCTGCTTCACAATCAATTCAAACAGTGCTTACAGGACAAGAATTGCTGTTGTTGTTGTTGTTGTTGTTGTTGGGCTTAATGCCATTTTTCAGCACACGATAGGCTATTCATGGTGGACAGTATTAATGGTGGAGTAAGAAACCAAGAAATCACCAGAAAGAACCACTGACCCACAAGAAACTACTGGCAAGCTTTCTCACATATCCACATTTGCCGAATCCTAGACTCGAACACACAAAGACAGAGGTGAGATAGCAGTGATCCATAACGGACAGCACTTTAGACCACTCAGCCACTGAGGGCCCTAACAAACTGCTGTAGAAAAGTTTAAAATTAGAGTACACATACATGATTATACATCAACTCAAATAAAATCACTATAATCATATGTACCATGAATTAGTCTGAAACACTATACTGTTTTCAGTCTCAGATGCATATGGCTGATTAAGCTTCATTCTGGTAGGCATTCTCAAAACACCTTGCATGTTAAAAAAATTCAATTAATTCCAAACATGGGAGTACACAAGATATTTCACATTATTATCTATAGCCCTGCATGGATCTTAGGCACAATATAAATAATCTTTTAATAAGCAAGATACTCAAACAGTTTAGAAGCAATCATCCTTGTAAGTTTTGATGGGAAAATACTTGTCTAAGTTTGTCACTAGCATTTGCATAAAAACCTTGTACAAATTTAGGTAGTTAGAATTTTAAATTGCTTCAAATCACTTTATTTAAAAAAAAATCTTTGACAATATTGAAAAAGCCAAGCTAACTGACTTGCATACAATCTGAGTTTGTTGATGGTTTTATATATGTTCAATACACTCAACCGTTTTATTCCTGCCACTAACTTTTATATGCATTATCTGTTTTTCAATATATGTTTGTTCTTCATTTCTTTTTGTTGGACTTAAATATTGATAAAAAGTTTATCGTAATACAGCAGTACAGCACAAACAGTGGTTTTATGCTAAGAAAGTTTCTCACTGGATTGTAAACTTCCGGAAGGTAACTGTTTGCCTTGGTCTGCACACTGTCATATATGACTTGGATTATGGTAAAATATTGTAAACTATATCTTCCCAATGAATAATGCATATATCCCTGCAGATCAAACTGTTTGGTTAGCATCCTGAAATATATAAATCTCTGTGGACCTCTCTTTTATTACAGTTCACTACATTTCTTGTACACTGTCATCACACAAGTTCAAACATGATTTATTGTTACTTTCTGCTAAACATTATCACATAATTGTTTTAAAAACTCTTGTATATCTAAATTATGTTAACATATACTAAACAGCATTAACCATTAAGACCTTATCTACATTTTATAGTTATTTTTCAAGATCCATAAAAAAAATTTTTGTAAATAAACAAAACTATATGCATAAGAAATTACTCTATCACCTGTATCATCATGAGAAGATTAAATGATGACACTGGGGAACTTGGAATGCTCTCAGATTCACTGACAGTAGACTGAAATCCACTGGAATGAACAGGTGTGGGCACAGATGAGCTCCTCAACACTGAAAATCTTACATATTCTGTCCTTCTTCTTGATCCAGAATAAACAATCTTCTTCACTTTGGAAACTTTTTTTTTAAGAATCATCCCATTTTCTGCAAAGCAAACAATTCCAAGAATTGATAATAATAGCTGCTACTTGTAAGCTTTTGGTAAAATCATGCACTGTTTTTCTTCCCATCATAAAAGAATGTCTGATTTAATACAGTGAAAGAGCATATTTTCCAGTCATCTTCATAGCTTTTCTGTTTAACAGCAATATGTGCTGCCTGTATCCTGTGTATTGCAATAGCTTTTCTGTTTAATAGCAATATGTGCTGCCTGAATCCTGTGCTTTGCATAGGATAACCATCACATTTTA